GTGTGGGGCATGCTGGCCGCCCCCGCGGTGGACTGGGCGCTCAGCGGCAGCGGCCGGCAGGACATGTGGAGACTGATGGTGGGGGGTCAAAGACCATGGTGGGGGGGGGGAGGGGGGGTGTAAAGCTGGGTGACGTGGGGAGGGTGGGGCGGGGGGAGGGGCAGTGAGGGGCGGGGGGACCTGCTTGGTGCCAAGGGTGGGTGCGGGGCTGTCGCGGGTGGGACGACAGGCGGGGCGGGACGCTGTCGTACCCACGTGCTCCTCACAGCACCCGCAGCGAGGTGTAGGCTAGGCGGCAGGGGAACGCAGGGGAGGTCCAACTGCACCCGTTCGTGCCCTCTTGCGCCTGCCAGCCTAGGTATGGCCTTTGGTCCTATATCCCGCTAGTTACGCTGTTGTTTGTTGGCGCTGACGTTCCTTTCGATCCGTACGCAGGTGGGTATTCCGGCGTTGCCAGGGTTAGCGCTTGCCGCGGCGCCGCTGCTGATGCCGGAGTCGCCGAGATGGCTGGTGGTGCAGAACCGACTGGATGAGGCGCTGCATGTGTTGGCAGCAACTATGCGGCGGAGTAAGGGCAACGGTCGTGGAGGGCTTGCGTTTTGGAGCAGCGGCTACGAGCGTGTGGCGGATACGGTAAGGTTCACTATAAGACCCACGTCATTTAGGCTATGATGCAAGATTGGTTGGAGGGTTAACCCAGAAGAATTTTATTCGTGTGGCAAGGCATTGAAAACATAAAGCGATTATAATGGGTTGCTTCATGTTTGCCAGCCCATCCAGCCCAGCCCGATTAGTCAAGCCAAAACGACTGGAGGGTTGGAGCTTAGGTTACCTTCGTGTTATACCGTGATTCCAGGGGGCATATCCTACTGAAAGGTTCCTTTGCATATTTACATCCAGTCCGTCGGCCCCCTGTCCTTACTCTAGTCAACCGCTAGCTCCGGATCCGAAACCTTGCTTGCGAAACCTTGCTTGCAACGAAGTCTTTATTGTGCAACTTTCAATGCCGAAGAGACTGTGATAACAGCAGTTGGCTTTAGGGTGCGCTGAACACAGAAAGGACCTTTGACTTTGCGTTTCGTTTCTGACGGAAGGCTCGTGATAAGCAGCAGAATGTCCCTCCTAGCCAGCCGTAAGCCTCTTGCTTGGTCGTCAGTTTCAGCTCACCGTGGCTTCTTACGAATCGGCCATCCTAGCCGCCTCTCCTGTGTCGTCGCCACGGCCGGCCGTCGTGTCGGCCAGGAAAACCGCAAAGCACAGAGCAAGGCCGAACCGCGAAAATGCCCTTGTGGTTCTGGTGAACAGTATCAAGAGTGCTGCGCTTCAATCGTTTCTGGTGCTTGGGCGCGCACAGCTCCAGAGCTTGCCAGGGCGCGCTTCACAGCAATGGTATCTGGCAAGGTGCAAATGCTGGCTGATACAACACATCCAGAAGCGCTTGAAGCAATTGGCACCAAGCAGTCCCTGTTAAAGAAGATGGACCAGCACATGCGCAAGCGCGGCGTGGGCGAGCTGCTGCCGTCCCTCGTCGACTGCGTTCATGGCCAGCATCCGGACGACCCGAACAATTGGATTGTCGTAATGGCCATTTCGCTGGGCGAACCGGGCATGGAGGATGTGTACGTTCTCTACGAGCTTTACCGGAAGGACAACGGCCGATGGTGGTACATGAATTCACCCAGGGAAATTCCAATCCTCGAGCAGTTTGCGGAGCTTGGAGTTCTTGGAGCGCTACCATGATGTCGGGCAAGGCGAGATGGGGCCAGTGGAAGGGCTTTACGACTACAGTTTCCTCCCAAGTCAGCCGCGCAACCTTACCTCCGAGGCCGCGAGACTCCGCACACCATGGCTGGTGGATGAATGGCCAGCGGATCAGCAGCAACGAGAGCTGGGTTTACCTCGACACAGCGAAAGACCCGGAAACCGGGCGCACGGCTGCACAAGAGGCTGCTGAATTTCACAAAAGCCTGAGCGAGTCGCTGCTAACCTCCGAGTTTGATTACGAAACCTACTACTTCCGCTTTGGTCGCTTCCTTTGAGTGACCCGCCCGGCGAGGCGACGTATTTCGCGCGGGGTTGCTTTGGCTGGTGGGGGTGGGTGTACTGGCCACTTGTGGTGGTGTTCTGTGTCTTGGGTGTGGGGTAGTTGTAACTCGTTTGGGGGAAGGGGTTAAGGTTGACGTGTAGTGCGTACGGCAAATGACGCTTAGGCTGTGCTGCAGGTGCGGGGTGGCCGGTTGGATGGGTGGGGGGCTTATGGGCGCTGGGGGGCATTGGAGCGGCATGCGGGTTTGTGAGTGATGGGGTTGTGGTGGATTGGAACTGAGCGCGTCAAGTTTTTGCAGAGCTGTGTTACGGCCTCAGAACGGGAGTTGTTGGTTCGAATGGCTGGTTGGTTGAACTCTAGAGTGTTCGCGAGAGTCTGTGTTAATCAACAGCCACAGCTCACAAAGGGGGCGGCGTCCTGGCTTCAGACCTCTGAAGGCAGGTGCGCAGCGGGCAGCAGTGGAGGGAAGGGGGGGGGGATAAAGAGATGCCGGTAAATAGTCCGCACTAAACGAAGCCAAGATGGCTCCCAAACAACCACGGGTTTATGTTCAGCCTTATTAAATACGGCTGTTATACACACTTGGCATCTGATAACGGCTGTGCATGCCAGGTTGTCAACCCCTCTTCCATCCCGCTTGTCCTCTCTTTCTTTCCCTCCACCACGACCGCCTCCCAGTCCATCCATGTCCACTACTGCATCCCCGCATGTGTATCCCCTTCGCTGCTGCTGCTTTGGGAGCCCCTGACTCCTCCTCCTCACCCCACCACCCACCCATCCGACCGCCCCGCAGGACCCTTCCGGCGCCCGCTCCTCCTCCCCATCCCCACTCGGGAGGGCGGCAGCGGCGGGGCCTGAGGAGGCTGAGGACGCGGCAGCCGAGCAGGCTCTGCGGGCCGCGGAGGACGAGCTGCTGCTGCTGTGGAGCGCGGCGGAGGTGGACAAGGCGGCTGTGGCGGTGGGTGGGGTGGGGTTGTGGGGTTGGAGGTGGGAATGGGTACGGGAAATAGCCGTGAAGTAGCCGTGCTGGGTGGGTGGGAGGGTTGGGGTGGGTGGGTGGGATCCAGGGTGATGGTGGGTTGGCAAGCGAGAGAGTCCGCTTCCTCTCGGGGAGCGATGGTAGTTGGTGACCACCACCATGCATGGAACACCCCCATGTGTGTCGGCAGCTGGGGGCTGGCAGCTCGCCAGTAGCCGGTGAGCTGGGAGGGGAGCTGGCGGCCTTGTAGCGAGCTTCCGGTCCTCACGTACTTCATGCCACTCTAATTACACTACTATGCGTCAACTGGGCATGTAGTGGTGCTAAACGTGCATGCCCCGCACCGCTCCCCGCCAACACCTCCACGCCACCGCAGGAGCGCCGGCGGCGCATGTGGCTGGAGCGGCAGCACCGGCAGCGCCAACAGCAGCAGCAGCAACTGCAACAACGGCGGCAGCGGCGGCGATGGGGCCGCCTGCACCGCTACTTCTCCTCCACCTCCTCCACCTCCCCCGACTCCTGGTCGCTGCTGCCCTCCAGCGCCCCCCTGGAATCCATCCCGGAGGAGTCCCCCTCCTCCTCGCCCGTGCCCTCGCCCTCGCCCGCTGCATCCTCTCCATCCCGAGGCATCCCGCATCCTCCGCCCCTCCTCTCTCGCCCAACAACCGCCGCCCAGGGATTGGGGCGAGGCACGCCCCTCAACTTCCCCGCCTCCACACCTGCACCAGCCGCAGCAGCAGTACTGGTGTGGGACCCCCAGGCTGAAGCCGCACCTAGCACGGGTCAAGGAGGAGACGGCGGGGCCGAAGGAGGAGGACGCGAAGCGGGAGGAGGAGGTGGGGCAGCTGGCGCGCCGAACTGCAGTAGTGTCTGCGGTGGAAGCGGTAGCGGGTGTGCATGCAGGCAAGACGCGCCTCGAGGGAGGGACTCGAGTTGCTGCGGCGGCAGCGGTGGCAATAGCAGTAGCAAAAGTAGAAACATTGACACTAGAAGCAGCGCCGTCAGCGGTTGCAGCACCGCGACTGAGAATGGGAGTCCTGGTTGCGGCTGTGCTCAGGCTTATAGCAGCTGCGGCGACGGCGACGGCGGTGGTGGCACGACGCCTTGCTGCGGCAGCAGGGGCGCAGCGGGTGCGTACTCGCCCTTAGCCGGACCTGCCACTTTCCAGCAGGAGGTGGAGGCGGGGCTGGGGGAGGCGCACCAGCAGCATCAGGCGCATCAGGCACAGCAGCAGCAGCTAGTCCATGGTGATCCACCAGCGGAACAACATCATCATCAGCGCCAGCAGCAGCAGCAAGAACGGCAGCATGAGGAGGCGCACCACCAGCAGCAGGCACCCGAGGAGGCCCAGCAGCAGCCGGATGGCGGCGGCTTCCTGCGCACGCTGGGCTGTATGGTGTGGGAGGTGCGGGAGCTGGCGCGGGGCCCGGAGCGGAGGGCGCTGGGACTGGCCCTGGGGCTGGCCTTCTTCAACCAGGTGGGGGGGGAGGTTTGGCCAGAACTGGCAGCCAAACTGGCAGTGATGTGTGGGGTGGGGGGCGGGGTAGCATGCCTGGCTGCATACATGTAATGGTGGGGGGGTGGCGTTAACAGGGAGACGGTTAGGACTACCAGATGTTTGGCGACCGCCTGCTCTACCCTACGCATGCGTGTTGTTTTGAGGAGGCGGTAAATTTTGCGGGATTGCCTCTACGCGTGCTGTGCCGCCTTTGATCTCGCCTATGCTGCTCTTGCTCCTCCCACCCCCCTCTTCCCCTCTCCACCCCCCAGGCCACCGCCTCCACTTCCATCATCAACTACGCGCCCAGTCTGCTGCAGCGGCTGGGTCAGCAGCAGGGCATGCAGGGGGAGGAGGCGGGTGCGGGTGATGGGAGCGGGCGGGCGCTCGCGTACACGGCGGGCATAGGGCTGACCAAGGCGGTGGGTGTGGTGGCAGGTGAGGAGGAGGGGGAGTGGGAGCGGGGGCCCCCACTTGCCACTCTCCCACTTGGTTTCTCGCCCGGCCACCTTTTCGTTCCCCCACGGCCCTCCATCCTTCCCTACTCCCTCCTCCCTCCACCTCCTCACCCCGCTCACCTCCCCCTCCCTCCCCCCCTCGCCAGCCATGTGTGTGGTGGACTCGCTGGGTCGCCGCCCGCTGCTGCTGTGCGGCTCACTCGCCTGCTGCGCCAGCCTGCTGGCGGCCTGCGGGGCGGCGCTGCTGGCGGAGGGCGGCGGCGGTGCGGAGGGGCTGCTGGCGGGCGCCATGTGCGCCTTCACACTGTGCTTCAGCTTCTCATGGGCGGGACTGTACTGGGTGGGTGGGGCTGGGTGGGTGGGAGGGGGGTAGAATAAACCAAACCACAAAGTTAGGGCAAAACAATGGGTATTGTTGGCAGGGAGCCACAAAACATGGGAGGGTTTACTGATGGGAGGCGGGAGGGAAAAAAGAAATTCCAAAGTGTGGTGTGATAATGATATAAGTTGCTGACAATCCCTGGTGAAATGGCGGGAGGGAAGGGGAGGGGTTACTGATGGTTGGTGTGTGTGGGTGGGGGAGTGTGTGTGAGAGGAAGTACGAATCATGTGTGGCATGTGGGCTCCACCCTGGGTTGCATCGCGGGTAGGAATGTGCCGGGTGAGTGCTGTACGGTTGTACAGTAGTACTTTACGTGGTTACATAGCCTCACAGGGAGGAGGAGGTTGGGGTGGCGCCTCCTGAGCTGCGCGGCTTTGCACACCCCTTTACCAGCGCTGCACACTCCTAGCTGAATCCCTTCCTGCGCCGTACACAAAACCCGCACCCAGGTGGTGGTGTCGGAGCTGTTCAGTATGGGCGCCAAGTCCGCCGCCACCTCGGCCGCCACCGGACTGCTCTTCTTGACGGGTGGGTGGGGGGAGGGAAGGGGGAGGGGGAGGGAAGGGAAGGGAGGGGGGGAAGGGAGGTGGACCTGGCGGTGGTAGGGGCGTGGAGGGCCCTCTCCCACAACCGAGCCTTGCACAGGGAGCCTCACTACGCCACTCTCCCTCTCTTGTCCCGTCTGGCTGGCTTGACGGTAATCACACCGCACGTCACACAAGGGGGTCCGCAGGGCCTCGCTGCATGACCTCCTCTTCCCCTCACCACACATTGGGTGTTTTTCTTTTTTCCCTCCACCCCTCAAACACCCCTACCCTGCGCCACCCCCTTCCTCCCAGGCGCCGCCACCGACCTGGTCTTCCTGTCCCTGGAGGACCTGCTGGGGCCCTACGTCTTCGCGCTCTTCGCGGGCATCAGTGCGGCAGCAGCGGCCTACGTGGCAGTGGCACTGCCGGAAACCAAGGGCAGGACGCTTGCGGAGGTGCAGGCGCTGTTGAGGGGGGGAGAGGAGGAGCAGGAGCTGCGGCAAGGGGATGGCGGTGGGGGAGGGGAAGGAGAGGGAGGGCGGGGAGGAGAGGGGAGGGCAGGAGGGGGGAGGGGCAGGGAGGAGAGGGCAGGAGAGGGGGTGCAGCGGGGTGGGTGGGTGCAGCTGCGGGAGAGGGTGTGAGTGGGGGGTTATGCAGCTGCGGGGGGAGGTGCTGCGGCAAATTGACTGCGGTTTCGTCAAGGGGACGACCAACCACTCTCGCTCGCGTGCTGCTAGGTGTACTTTTGCTGAGCGCTTGCAGGGGCAAGCGTGCAATGAATGTGCGGAGGGGAACAAGACGCACGTGGCTATGCCGACGTTGTTCTTTGTGTAACGTTACTCGAAGACCTGCACTTATGGAATACTGTATTGAACTTGTTTCGGTGATACCCTGTACTTCCAAGTCGTAGTACGGGGGCACTCGTGGAGGCAATCCTAGTCGTGTGTACCTAGCCTGAGTACCGCGCCACCATGATAGCTTAGCTTAGAGGACCATGAATGCGACACGCCTAAATGGGGGGTGCTTGGGGAGCAGCCTTACAGTGTCTTCTTACCGGTACGTGTTTTTGCTGATGTGTCATGTGAACGAATGAAGGTTACTAACTTATTATGGTTTTGTAAACTCGGGCGTGTAGGTAGCGTAAACGGTTATCTCTTCTTATCTACGGTTCAGCTGACCCTGTTTGGTATTTTGCTTTTGGTACCGTGATGTTACGTGGGGCAATTGATTGCTCTCGACCTGTGCGTCGTATCGTATGTGGCCTATTAGATACTAGAAAGGAGGAGGACGAGGTGGGCCTCATTCCCGCATCCCTCCGTAGCCCAGTGCTGTTGGACGCTTGTTGGACGTTTCACTCATCGGACGTACCCGGTAACTAACCGGCTTGTAACTCGGTGGCATACCCGGACGACCTGGCGGTTGTGCGATTGATGCGCGCTCTCGTCCTGTCTGCTCTATGATCACTGCAACTGCAAGCAGTCCAACGACGCGTTAGAGCAGAGTCCCGTTCAATAAACGTCATGCCGCATTGTCCTGATGGTAGGCTGACGTGCACGAGCGGAAGTACAGTCCGGAGACGTTCCCAGCAGTACGGTGGGCACAGGGCAAGGCCATTCACACATGTGCGCCCATCCGCACATCACCTGTACGCTGTACCGGCTTGTACCTCCCGCTGTACCGTAGGATTGTACCCCGGTACCAACTTCATCATGCGTTGTAGGGTCGCTCCCCATGTCGCACATCCCTCCTTCCAAGACCTTCTGCGGTACGTCTTCTTCATGTGTTCGGTGCATAACATGTGGACAGCAGACGCAATGTGCTCGTATTCCGCTGAGAGAGCGAACGGTTGTCGTTTGAAGCTAGGTAGATACGGT